TCCCTCCCACTGCTCATCCTAAGATGAACTCTCTTCATATAATGTAAAAGCTGTTCAGAGAAAACAGAAGCCATGTACACTTACTACATTTACTATTATTATTATTATTATTATTATTATTATTATTATGATATTTATAGAGCGCCGTCAAATTCCGCAGCGCTTTACAATGGGTGGACGAACAGACATGTAGTTGTAACCAGACAAGTTGGACACACAGGAACAGAGGGGTTGAGGGCCCTGCTCAATGAGCTTACATGCTAGAGGGAGTGGGGTAAAATGACACAAAAAGGCAAGGATAGTATTAGACTAGTGACAGTTGCAGAAGAGGAATCAGTCAGGAGCTATTAACAGTTTAATTGATACGCTTTTATGAAGAAGTGGGTTTTTAACGATTTTTTGAAGGAGTGGAGACTGGGTGAGCATCTAACGGAGGAGGGAAGCGAGTTCCACAGGAATGGTGCAGCCCTCGAGAAATCTTGAAGGCGGGCATCAGAGGTGGGAGTACGGACAGAAGATATACGTAAGTCTTCAGCAGATCTTAAGGGCCTAGACGGGACATACTTGTGTATAACGGAGGATAGATAGGTGGGAGCAGCATTATGTAGAGATTTGAAAGCAAGAACCAGAATTTTAAATTGAGCTCTATATTTTATAGGAAGCCAATGTAGGGATTGACAGAAGGGTGAGGCATGGGAGGTGCGTGCGGACAGGAAGATGAGCCTTGCCGCTGCATTCATTATGGACTGTAACGGCGCTTGTTGGGAGCACGTAAGACCACTGAGAAGCGGATTACAGTAGTCAAGGCGAGAAAGGACAGTGGAATGGACCAACACCTTAGTCGCATCTGGCGTTAAGTAGGGGCGGATGCGCGCAATGTTTTTTGAGATGGAAATGACAGGATTTGGCGATAGATTGAACATGAGGCTTGAAGGAGAGGTTGGAGTCAAAGAGAACACCTAGGCAGCGAGCCTGCATGGTGGAGCTGATGGTAGCACCATTGACTTGGAAGGAGACAGACACAGGAGTAACAACACTTGAGGGAGGAAAGACCAGAATTTCAGTTTTGGTCAAGTTTAGCTTAAGGAAGTGGGCAGCCATCCAGTTAGAAACAGCAGAGAGGCAGTCAGAGACACTAGTCAAGAGGGACAGGGAGAGATCAGGAGAGGATAGGTAGATTTGCGTGTCATCTGCATAGAAATGATATTGGAAGCCAAAGGAGCTAATGAGTTTACCAAGGGAGGCAGTATAGATGGAGAACAGTAGGGGACCAAGGACTGAACCTTGGGGACACCAACAGAGAGGAGTTGGGGAGAAGAAGCAGAGCCAGAGAAAGAAACACTGAAAGAGCGCTGGGAGAGGTAGGGGGAGCACCAGGAGAGAGCAATATCTTGTAGACCGATATTGCGGAGAATGAGAAGAAGCTGTTGATGATCAACAGTGTCAAAAACCGCAGACAGGTCAAGGAGATTTAGGATAGAGTAGTGACCACGAGATTTTGCAGTGAGTAGATCATTGGATACTTTGGTCAGTGCCGTTTCCACAGAGTGCTTAGTGCGGAAACCAGACTGAACGGATCTAGCAGAGAGTTGGACATGAGGAAGTCTGTCAATCTCGCATACACAATTTTTTCAAGGATCTTGGATGCAAGAGGCAGTAGCGAGATAGGACGATACTTGGATGGGGAGTTAGGGTCAAGATTGGGCTTCTTTAGAATTTGGGTTACACTTGCATGTTTGAAGTGCAATGGAAATATACCAGAGGAGAGAGAGAGATTGAGAATTTTAGTGAGAGGTGGAGAAAGAGAAGAAGACAGAGTACGGATGAGATGCGAGGGAATTGGATCTAAGGAGCAGGTGGTGGGGTGGGAGAACTGGAGCAGAGCAGAAACCTCTTCCAATGTAGCGGGTGCGAATGAACATAGAACAGCAGAGGGAGTGAAGTTAGGGGAAGTATTCTAAGGTGAAGAAGAAAGATGAGAGATCTCTTGTAGAGATCTTGTCAGTGAAGTGAGTTGCAAAGTCTGAGGCGGTCAAGTTAGTAGGTGGAGGAAGAACAGCAGGGCGAAGAAGAGAGTTAAATGTGTGAAATAGTAATTTGGGTTTGCGGGAGAGTGTGGTTATGAGGGTATTGAAGTAATTAACTTTTGCAGAGGAAAGAGCCAATCTGCATGAGCTCAGCTTAAATTTATAGTGGAGAAAGTCAGATGCACAGTGAGACTTTCTTCAACAGCGTTCAGCAGTTCTGGAGCATTTTTTGGAGGTATTCAGTGAGTTTGGTGTGCCAGGGTTGTTGTTGGGGGGGCCTGCGGTGTTTAAATGTACAAGGTGCCATGATGTCTAGTTGAGAGGAGAGGGTGGAATTGTAGAAGGAGGTTGCAGAACTAGGACAGGTGAGGTTTGAGACAGATAAAAGGAGAGTTTGGAGATTAGTGGAGAAATGCTCTAGGTCAAGACATTGGAGGTTTCTGTGAGAGTGATGTTCAGACAGTGGTGTCAATTGGGTCTTAGGTATGCCAATGTCAAAAGTCAGCAGATGGTGGTCAGATAGAGGAAAGGGAATATTGGAGAGATTAGAGGCAGTACAGAGGTTGGTGAAGGCAAAATCAAGAGTGTTTCCTGCTGTATGGGTTGCTAGATTGGACCATTGCGTGAGGCCAAATAAGGAGGTTACAGAGAGCAGACGAGAGGCATCAGTGCAATTGGGGTTATTGATTGGAATATTGAAATCCCCAAGTATAAGGGAAGGAGTGCTAGATGAGAGGAAGTGGGGAGGCCAGGAAGAAAAGTGCTCAATTAATAGTCTAGGATAACCGGGGGAGCGGTAGATGATAGCAATTCTTAAAGGAGTGGGTTTAAATAGGTGGACATTATTTGTTTCTAGGCATTGTACACTAGAAAAAATGCTAATTGTTGTACTTGTTACTCTCAGTCCAGTTCTCATGCATCCCCAGAGGGGTCAATTATCAGTTTATATTTATCCCATTGGAATTGACTTGTCTAATCATTCAAAACTGCATTTTTGGGAGTAAGTAGAAGCTTTGGATTGAAAAATGCTCCCTAGATGAAGTATTACTAATGTACCTATCCTATTCAGCAGATCATATTACACATTTAGTAACCCTAAGAGAATGTTGATGACACTTGGTAGATGCATGGTGGTATGCCATTTATTTGTTCTAAACAATTTGGCATGTTTTAATAGAATTCATGTGATTCAATCTACTGATTTAATGCTTTGTTTTTACGAAAAAGTGCATTTTATATCACTCATTAGTAAGCTACTCCCAAATGTCATATAAGCTATGTGAATGTATAACAACAACAACAACAACAAAAGATCTAAACACCGAGCTAGCAGAATTGCCAAATTATATATTGTGCAATTAAAAAAGTATTTAAAAAAAGCTTGCATTTTAGCCATCTGGTGAACTCTTAAAGGGAACACAGCCTTTTTCTCTTGATCAATATTTTGTCTACAAACTAGAAAAATGCATATATTACTTTTATGCTGTATGTTGACACGGCAAATATTATTTATGAGACAGATTCCATTTAAGATGTTTCTGAATCATGTTTACTATGCTATCATTACTGTATGAGCTCAGACATTCTCATGTACCATGGTTAATATTTTGGAGAGTTAATTGTTCCCTTAGATTGATCCTTTCAAGGGGAGTTATTGTGTTGCAGTACTCCAGAGAGAGATAATAAAAAAGAAGCTGTGAAATATAGTGAAATTATTTACGAAGATAGCCTTGAAGGATGACATTGATGATGAAAATGAAAATGTTTAATTCATTTCCATGTCCTTTATTCGTGGTAATTGAAACTACTCCCTTAACACAGTACATTGACTACCAAACTTCTGCATTTAAGATTAGTTTTATGCTTTATCTGAAAACCAAGACGTATTATTTTTACAGCCCGTAGAGGTCATCATGGTGAAGATTAACAACCTTGGCATGTAATTAATTGAAAGGTTGCAGAAGGCATTTGACAATATTAACACACAAACCTAAATGTGCTTTTTAATTTATGCTGTTGGGAGCCTCATAATGTGTGCTGTTTTATCACACATCTATTAATAGATCTATTTTTATCCTTTTTGTTAATTGCTGATTAAATACCTGCTTTTACCATGAAAACCAAAGTAAAAGACAATACTCTGTTGCATATGCAGAGTGCCCCATTCTTCATATGGAGCAAGTGGCAGCTGAAAGTACATTTTTATCTAGTAACCTAATGTGGGAACTGACCTGCTTCATCAAGTGATAAATGACTTGCCATAGAGACTACAGATGCTCAATCTTATATCGCAGAGTAATGACGTCTAAGAAGCACAATGGGAGCATGGCTGATATCAATATTCTTGCTTAATGCTTATGTAACTTTGGATTAAAAAATGTTTGAAATTTATTGGCTATTACTTTAATTGTGTAATAAGGCATTTTGTATTTATGTTTTTATAGTGTTCTATGTTCATTATATATTTGTATTATTGTGGATGGAAAAACCCTTTCCTTCTTTTTTTATTCTGTATTCCTTACCTTGGTTATTGTTTAAAAATGTATTTGCAAAAGTTCAATAGAAAGTATTTGAGAAGATTATATTACTTTAAAATGTAAAACACATTAAAGCTTTAAATAGATCATTTTAATTTAGTTTAATGCTTTTTAACTCCTCAAGGAACAAGTATTACACTTTGCTATTGTCACAATCTGGTCCCTACATGCCAGCATGGAATCTTATACCAATTAAACCTTGACAGCTTTTTAGATCACAGCAGTCGTTAATTGAGTGGGTCATTCCATTTTTGAATAGGAAGAATTTTTATTATAGCATCAGGTGGCACTGGTCCTTAAGGAGTAAAATATAAACTGCTTCATTAAAAAAGATTCATATATTAAAGATGATTATATATACAGTAGGATTTGGATTAGAATATTGCATTCATTGCTTCAGATCCTTAGCAAGATATAGCCGAAAATACAAAATGTAAATGAAAATCACGTCCCCAGTCCATAAAAGAACAACATACACTTTGTTAAAGTATGAAAACATATCCATTCATTGTGTAACTTTTTGAAATATTGTTCTTGAATCTGAGCAGTCTCAAGTAAACTGCATCTGTCTCTTAATTTCAAAATCATTGATAGTAATAACTGCGCGTATGGCCTGCAAAAAAGCTTCTAATATGTAATATTTCTGGGAGGCTATAAATAGAGGTGAACAACAGATGCAAATTGTATACCATTTTTTGCAAAAGCATTAGTGATAAAAATAATACAATTATTAGATAATGGTCATTAAAAATAACTAATTCAATTGTACTGCAATGTTATCTTGACTTGAATTATCAGCATCAAAAGTTATATTTATTCCACCATGCTGTGGGACTTTTTCCGCTGCAATATAGGAATGAGTGGAAAGTCACAA